GGGGAGCATTATAGGGATTATTAAGAGGGATACTAGGGGTTTAGACTATGGCTCAACGCTTGAACCCATGGATCCTAATGCCTCACAACCTCTGGGGTTTAGAGTCTGGGGTTTAGGGTACAGGGCTTAGAGTTTAGGGTCCAGGTTTCAGGGTTCAGGGCTTTTGGGTTTAGGGGTACAAGGTGGAAAATACACAAGTTATAGCCAGATTATCACTTGTATCCACTATATAGTGGGAATGGTAGCTAACACGGGTGTTTCGCAACATACCTACTTCGCCCGAGGTTTTCTAAACCCTCAACACAACCATAAACCCCCAGAGCCTCCAATCCCCCAGCTCCTAAACGCCGAAGCTCCTCAACCCAGAAAGCCAAAAAGCTGTGTCTCTAACTCTTTATACAAAACTCCGAAAAATGCTGCTACCTACGTCGGGCTGGGTCGAAGCCATGGATCTACCTGGTATCCCAATAAAGCCCTAGCAGCCCCAGCATAAGCCCCATAGCGCCGACTACTAGGTGGACTTACTAAGTTATTAAGGTTGCTTAGGCTCTGAAGCCCTAAGCCCTCTACGAAGGGACCGTATGTATCCCTAGAAACCCTGTAAACTGACCCTATATATGGGGATTGTTCTAAAGGTCCTTGTAAAGAAGGGGCCATTGGGAATACAATTCCTTAAAAGGGGATCGTAACCAAACGGGAAACCTACATTATGGTCATTTGGGGGACAGGTATTTTGAACAGCTACCATATGGACTACGCTGCCGTAGGTTGGCCTCTCGTTGGCTGGGTCTTCACCTGGACTGAGGAGAAGGTATGGAAGCCTGGGCTTTCGGGGAATTGATCCGGGGAAGTACGTAGGGTTTTAAAATGGGTGTGAAGAGGTTCTATAGGGGCACGTTTAGGTTGGTTGGTTGCTTGTGATACACCCCCAATTAACCCAATTACCATCACATCATATCAAGAACCCCCCTCTCCCCCTGCAAGGTTGTGGGCCCCAGCGGGTATCCAGGTCAATGAGCTAGAGCTCCAGTAGTCTAGGGCTTAGGGAACTCAAAACCCTGAACCCAAAACCCCAAACAGCTAGTAACTAGTAGTACCAGCCAGTTGCCGATGCTTCCCTAAACCCTAAACCTTTTTGCAGCTTGGTGGAGTGGATAACAGTGCCATGTCAGCCGCAGCTCGTCGCGTCACGAAGAAGTTGATGGAGTTGAAGAGCGACAAGCTGCGAAGCGCCCTGAAGGTGGTTCCTAAACCCTATAAACCCAATAAACCCTGTAAACCCTATAAACCTTATAAACCCTAAACTCTAAACCCTGACGCCATCAAGGCGACAGTGCTTGATCGCCTGCAAGGCCGACTTTATTATATCGCATCCAGAGTTCTGGAGATGTTGACGGGGTTTAGGGTTTAGGGTTGAGGGTTTAGGGTTTTAGGGTTTAGGGTTTAGGGTTTAGGGTTTAGGGTTTAGGGTGGTATGCTGGCACCGGCTCCCACACCAGACTTGTTGGACAAGTTCGGAGCTGCGGTTCTTGGCAAGTCAATCAAGGGCACAGTACTCCGCTGTATTGTTGCTCTGTGGATAGTATTGTTATGACCTCAGCTTATTTATATAGTGCTACATGATTTTTGCCATCACGGGCGGGTTCTAATTATGTTCTGGGATTTTCGATTTTGCAGTTAAGGGTGAACTTGGAGGGGAAGGAGGGGGGCGATCAACACAAGGTCAATTTAGAATGTAGGCGTGCCTGAAAGTCAGTTTCCCCAGGGACAGCAGCGATACATCGGGTTGGGCCCCCACCACTAATATAGTGGTATACTAGGAATACATAAGGACCTTAATATAATTACCAGTACCTCTTGTGGTCGCTATTAGTAGGTGGCGGCCCAACCTAAGGGATACATGTGGGTTGTACGGGAGTTTGGGGTCCTTACTGGCGACTATAAGAGAATCCTTGTGAGGAATATTTTACGGAGCTTGAGATCCCTAAACCCTAATTAAACCCAAAGGTTGTAGTCAAATTCGCGGAGACGGATATGGGGGCGTTGAGGTTTCAGGGATTCTGGGTTCGCGGGCTCAGGGCGATCCTTTTGCGCGCAAAGGAGAAAATTTGTGTAGGGGTCGGGTAGACACAGAAGTATTTTTTCTTCAATGATGTGTGTCAGAGTCCTGCTGAAGTTCAACACCCTACACCCTAAACATCTTTCAGCGGCGTCCTTTTTCTTATCCATTCCTACAGCATACCGCCTATCAGCCTCTTAAAGGGACCGAACCCTAAACCCTGAGCCCTGTAGGAGCTAACGGGATTACTATAGGGGTTATTAAGGGGGATACATAGGAGTGTAGACTATGGTTCATGTAACCTTGCATCACATAGCCTATTACAAAAGGCACCAATAAAACCGTAAACCTTACATGACCCCCTTTGGCCCCTTCAATGGGTCCAACTGAATCAAGTACTTTTGAATTTCTTCAAAATCCTAGACGCGAACCACCCCCATTCGACACAAAGCCCGAAGCCTGTGACTGATCATAATCTCTACCTTATGCGAGGATCACAGCCCCAAACCCTAAACCCTTCACTAGACACAATCCTTAATACGCCCCCTACAACCACTTTAAAGGATTCTATCCAAGCCTAAACCCTTAATCCTAAGCGCGAAACCCCAAACCCTAAGCCCCAAACCCAAGTCATGAGCCCTAAATCCTAAATCCAAAACTAAATCATAAGCCTTAAACCCCAGACCCTAAACCCATATCATATGCCCTAAACCCTAAACCATATTCATCCCTGGTCAGGTGCTGGAGGTGGACGTAAACCTCGCCGCAGGGCGCCTTGCGGAGTTTGTCCACCGGCTTGTTGGGGCAATGCAGGCCAAAAGCCGTTCGTTCAGTGGGTTGGATAGGGTTTAGGGGTTT